TAAAAACTACCTAAAATATTTTCCAATAAACTTGCAGCAGTTTAGCAATCCGACTGCTTGCTAAGGGAGCTTTCATGAGGCAGGACACCTTTGTCCCATTTTCCACAGTAATTTTTCTGGGCAAATACATTCCTTGTTTAAAAAAAATAAAGAAAAGTCCTTGCTAACTATTGTTAGTTTGGTTGATGCTTCCCTGCTAAGAGCAACCAAGACCCAGAGCATGCAAATCCTGAATGCCTTTAAAGGATTTCCAGACTACTTCACAGGTTACCTGTTACAAGAACACAGGACGGGGATTAACTAGCTCAAAGTCACAAGCTTTCATAGGCAGCAGCCTACTTTGTCAGATGCTATGAACTAAGATTAGGGGATACCACCAGTAAATACAAAGGCTAGGGAAAGGGGGAGGAACCTGCTCTTTGCAAGCTCATTCAAATCTTCTAATGATGTGAACTAAGGTGCCATCTTCCTCTGCTTATTGCCTGATTTCAGACTAATGCAGACAACTACCTTTTCTGTACCCATCATCAGAAATGGTTCCAGAGGAAGAGCTTGTGGAGTGCTGTGGAAGTATGAACCATTCTTGGGCAGAAACAAAGCTGTTCTACTGTGGAGCCTTGGGACATGGTTAAGGGAATTCTTGGTAGAACAGTTTCTGGAGATTTGCTTGGAGGATTTTAAAAGACATTTCTGTCCAGGTGAACAAGATCCTCCATATGTATGTGAGGATATGCAGGCTAGACTAGAAGCTTGGCTGCACCTGCCAGACACTGAAGCAGAAAAACTTAAGACCAAGAATTCATCACTACCACCCTGGCTAGCTTAGCTTGCTTTAAGTGGAGTACTTGGATCCAAGTACGTGGGTCCAGGACCATTGCCACACGTTCACATGCTGTGATTTGCATCTTTCAGGAAAAAAACCAACTCTCTTTCCCCCGCCCCAACCAAAAGGCACAAAACAATATCTCTGAACACAGTAGGAGTGGGCACAGTGCTCTTAAACTTTACTGTAATTGCCCGTAGGGTCTCAAAGGAGCATCTGAGATGAAAGAAAAGCAAAATGTTAGGTTGGGCTTAGGGAGGGTACCAAACTCAAAGGAAGTGTCGAGGCATCCTATGGTAGAAAATACACGTGCTCAGCAGGAAGGTGAAATAACTGTAACATTTGCTGCAGTGGCTGACCAATGTGGTGGGTGGGAGGGGGCCATGGCCCCCAGGGACCTGTTGGTTGCTGCTGGAGGAGGGTTACAGCAACAAAGGGGAAAGATGAACGTTCAGTTGGTTTTACATTGCATGGGGAGCTGCTTTTACTCGGCCAAAGGAAAAAAAAAAAAACAGGTTTCTGAATTTAATAGAATTTTATGCACAGACATGCCAACCTGTATTAACAGAATTCAAGTTCTGTCAACATAACTTGGTAATAAAATTGGACCCAAACTAGCAAGTTTTCAAAAGAATGATTTCTCTACTTTATGCCAACAGTAAGAGTTGTGGAGTACTGTATTATCTTGTTGCGAGTAAACTGACTTTGGTGGGGGAAAAATATAAAAAACAACCACTACTCAATTGACACCATCTCTGCATTGACAGATGAACTTCATTTGAACTTTACAGACAATTAATATTCAGTCAATCATTTTTTTTCAAACACCCAAAACAGATACCTGTGACATTCAGAGACATTTGAATCCACAAAAATGGCATTTATCAATAATACATTTTAAGATTTAGTATTATTAGACAGAAGGGAGACAAGCAGGTTTTCAAGCTTTTGGTTCTTTAGAAGTGTTTGAAGGAAACAGCATGGTACCAGTATGCCACACTGAAATGGCATTGATTCCTAGAAGATTCCAGCAGTGGAGAACTTCCTCTCTGCAAGTAGTGAACTTTAATTGCATATCCTCACATCATTACATTATTCCAAGACAAACCCCTCTCCCCTTAAGTTAAAAGCGTTCAGAAAACATTCAGTATTTGCTCCTGATGTTAAGTTTTTGGTTACTGTTTTATTTAAAAGAGACGAGACTTCAAAGTCCAGGAATTAAATATATAAATTTAATTCAATAAGGAAGTTTCTTTGAGGAAGTATGACATCATTGTTGGATTTCCATTCTGGAAAAAAAACAGCCTCTAAACAAACTTATAGTTTTATTGAGTTTGTAGCATTGTCTTACTTGTGATACAAAGATACAAATATTTAAGAAATTTATATAGAAGAACTGATTACCCTCCTAATATCCTGGGCACCTCTATAATTGAAATCCAACATATGCGCATTGTAACTTTTAATTTCTATGGATTTTATCGCTAAACACATTTGCATTGCATCTTTAACCTAATATTTGCATCTTGTAATTAATATTTATTCCTGAAAACCAAGATAAATCAACTAAACTTATTAAGACATAAAACTGGTTATATATACTTTACTTGTAACAAAAAAGGCAGAAATTGATTGAACCTTCTTTAATTAAATTCTGCTTTCTGTGGAATCCTAGATTCCATCAAAATTGCTATAATCCTATTACACAATTTAGAGTGTAGCCACAAGTACTTCCTTAATGATATGGAATATATAACCCTAAATTAAAACTGCATTTACTGAATTCCTATAACATTACTTTCTTAACACTGGTTTTACCCAATCCTCCCCTGAAGTTAGTCAATAACTATACACTTTCTCTTTGAAACAAGGGGGGAAAAAAAAAAAATAATTCCTGCTTCTGTATATATTGGTTGAATGACGTATACTATCTTGTTTCACTAAGTCTTGGAGAGAACAATGGAAATACTTTTATAATTGAATAGGCAATTCTTTTTTAAACATTTTGTTCAGGTTAAATTTCTTTTGTGGGTGCAAATTGTGGCAGGTGGGTGGGGTACCAGATCCTGGTGCCGATTTAGTGGGAGCGTCAAAATGGCAGCCTCCCAAGGAGTCTCTGCTAGAGCAGCAACAGCATTCCCAGGTCACTACCTTGTGCTCCGCCCTCCACCACTTCCAACAGGGATTGCCCAGGGCAAACTCTGCTGGTTAGACCTCCAACTGAAACACTTTACAAGGCCTGATTTTGCAGGTTTGTAATAGAAGACCTGAAACTGACTAACATCTGTCATTTTCAAGGCTTATACTAGATTCCCAAACATTTTATTAGAAGCCTTGAAACTGCATAGTTCTGTCAGTGCTGGGGTATTAAAATCCCCAACACTGGCTAGTTCCCCTAATTTTCAAAGTTTCTCATAGTCAGTTGCTGGGGTGCACTTAAACTTTGAAAAGAAGGGAAGTTAATCAGTTTTGGGGTGTGCTAAGCTGACAATGACAGCACTGGACCCCAAGGCTATGCACATGGTTTATAAATGGGGTTGGTTGCAAGATGAATATTAGTGGTTGAAGAGGGATTCATCCTGGCCAGGCCCCACATTCAAGTCCAGAAGGGTAACACTTGCAGTGTCTGCCAGCTACCTACTGCTAAAGGCCTGGTGGTGCCTGACTCTGGGTTTAGCAGAGTTGCTAGCCGGCTGCTACTGAGGTGACAGCACACAGTGGGGGGGGGGAATAAACAAAGCAGAGGGTCACCTGGGCTAAGAACAGATAACCAGTGTGATCTGGAGTTAAGCTCCTTGTCTTGCAGCAAACCCTAGCCTTTAAGCTGAAAACAGATCAGTTTAACTCCTGGGGGCTGATGAGCCCAAGGTTTGAGTCCTACCAAGATAGGGGTGGGAAAGGTGTTTACACAAGGTTTTAAAGGGCAATTACTGCATTTACTCTGCATCCCCCTCCCACCCCTTATTGTCAGGCACAGCTCAGCTCCAGCTGGATTCCCCCTGGCACAAAGCACAGGGACACCAGTTCCCGTGCTTGCAAGGACCATAGTCCCACATGCTGTCCTTCAGCCAAGGACTACTGTCAGAGCAACATCTGATAAGAAAGGAGTGGCAGGGAGGGGAGGACAGGGGCTGAGATTGAGGGGAGGGGAAGGGTCAGAGACTGTAGGGGGCACTGATTGTGTTGAGCGATTGTGAGGAAGGGGCAGTGGTTGTGCTGAGTGGTTGGGGGAAAGGCACAGGGAGCATGAAGGGGAGACACCTCTCCAATACTTAGGTTTACACCTGGAAAATTATGGAAATTGATACATTCCCCATTTACAAAATGGAAAGCCTGGGGGGACGTCGTCTTGGATGCCAGTCCATTCTGTTGGAAGGCAGCACTAAATCGGGCTGGGGGAGTAGCGGGCTTGTTCTCTCGATGGCTGGCCAGGAGACAAGATGCGGATCAGACACCTCAGAGCTCCTCCCTCCCCTGATAAACGCGTCCCTGCCCCGCCCCAGGCCCCGCCCAGAGGGGGAGGATGCAAGGAGGGAGCCTCGCTGCTTCAACAGACGCTACAGCGCATGGTCATATGGCTCGCGCATGCTCAGTGAACACCCCAGGCTTTATTCCGAGGCGTATTCCGACAGTCCGCGCAGCGGCCGTCTGGGGATCCCCCCTCACAGCCTGACAGTGGCTTTGTCCCGGGACGGCCCTGCTTCTTGCACTCACACCTCCGGGCGGCGGCTGCCCCCTCCCGCCC